CACGCACGATCTCCGCAGAGGGTTGCGCGCGCACCGGACAAATCGCACTTTTGCCTGCATGTCGTGCCCTCGACGCGCACAATCTCCGCAGAGGGTTGACGCTGTTCGTCCCACCCTCCGCCTTTAAAGAGAACTTTTGAAGTGGGGAAATGTTTTTCATTAGGGCATCTCCCGTGAAAGTTTTCAATACTCACACTTGCATACTTGCACTTGGATACTTACACTTGCATACTTGCACTTGGATGCTTTCATTCTTAGACTTTAACACTGGCATACTCACACTTACAAACTTGGATACTTCTGTGCCATTGTGCGTATAGAAGTGTAAGTGTTCAAGTGTAAGTGTAGAAGCGTAAGTGTTCAAGTGTAAGTGTAGAAGTGTCAGTGTTCAAGAGGTTTTCCGGAAGAACCCTTTGCAATGCTTTCGGGAACAAAGGCACTTTTAATTGGGAGTGCCGACTTGTGCATTCATTCTGGGCACATTCGGCGCTTACCGTTTCCAGGATCCAACGGGACGCCGGCAGTAGAACACTGAGCGCCAAACAAGGATACATGGAACTGTGATGGCAAGCAAACCCACTTGTCCAATGCCGCTGGCAAATCGGAAATAGCAAAACTTGTGGCACCAAAGCCGCCAAGTTCTTGCGGGTGAGCACCCCAGGTAGGTGCAAGCCATAGGTGCTGGTGCTGGGATGGCGTTTGCTTGGGGCGTGCTGGTGCGGGTGCTGGTGCAGTTGCTGGCGCGCGTGCTGGTGCTGGATCGGCGTTCGTTTGGGGATCTGCAACTCTGGGCCCCTGGGCCCGGTCGTCGACACTATGTAGACGTCGGTTTGTGCCTGTGTGTTTGAAGTCCTGTAAGTGTATTGTAGTGCTTTGCAGACCGGCGATGCCGGTTTGGCGCGTGTTCGCTATCGTGTTGAGTTTCGGACACTTGCATTGTTCCTTTCGCATGCGTCGCACGCGCGCGCGCGCCCTCCCAAACATTGTATCAATGTAGATATCTATGTTTTTGTTGCTCGAGGCTTCGAAAATTGCCCAAAGCCACGCTATTTGCGTAGTTTTTGGTGCCTGTGCACCAAGAAACCACGTAAACACCGATGGTTTTGAGCTATCGAGTGCTCAAAAAAATTACCAGGTTTTCTCAAAAAATGCGATATTTGCAGCATTTCGCGCACCACGCCCGAAAAAAATGTTGATATTTATGCCGTTTTTGCAACGTTGCGACATGTTTTTTCTAGATCGACATTTGTGAACACACTGTAAGTTACGGTGTTTTGCGCCTTGGCGCAAACCGGAAAAAGGCTTCACAGCTGTCCCTGTAAGCCCCAAATCCAGCTTCTTTGCAGATCGCAATCTTTTTGTTAAATTTGCATGCTTTTTGGATGGAGTTTTCGACCGCCCTGGGTCTCCAAAAAAACACTTTTCCCCACCAGGCTCAAGGATTTTGCTACATTTCTCGCTTTGCTGTGTTTGGAATCGCCTCAGGGGCAAAAACGGCTCGAAGTGCAGGCGGGAGCACATCCTGTTTTAATAGTTCGAATTCGCAAAAACACAAACACACCATAAGGGGAGAGGTCGCCGGCATCGGGAGCAGAACCCGTAGCTAAAACTAGAGGCGATAAGCTACACCCGTGTGCCGCCGACCCCCCATCACCAAGCAAGGCTGGCTTATATATGGTAGGTGAACCCCACTGGCAGCTTCAAAGAACATGTGGATGCACAGAGGGTGAAATGGAATTCAGGGTTTCTGTGATGAACTCCGCTATTGCATTTGCTGCTGTTGTTGCTGCTGCTGTTGGTCCAAGCCTCCGAGCAGTTCACAGGTCGGGCATACGAATATGTCTAGAGTCTACAGGCCACTGCCCAAACATCCGGCCCTAGCCTCGTTTGGACTTCTTTTGGGCCTAGCTCAAAACCATGCTTTTTGTATCGTGAAGATTTCGCACCAAGATTCGCAATGTGACTTTCGTCTCGGTCTGCTATGTTTTTTGTGGCCAATTTGTTGTGCACTTTCTGCGGTGCCTCAGCAGTGTTTTGAAAAGAAATCTGTTTAATTTGTCATGAGGCTTAGCACCAACTCCCTGATGGGGAGGAGCTACCACGCGAACCGAGCGTTGCCCAGTGGCGTTTGGGAGGTTCATGCTGCCACCGTTTCCAGCTATGTTCTGCGGAACAAACAGGATGACAAAATGCAAAAATCAACCAGGCACAACATAGTACGGACAATTTCGTCCGGCTTATCTCCTTTAGCCTGACTGTTGTCGCAGAAAGGTTGGGCAGGAAAAATGTGACTTCGTGTGATGTTCTGGGTGCGAGTTATTTCCTTAATGTTGCAGTCTGTGGTGCTTGGCCAATGAATGGAAGCAACAGGTTGCCTGAAGACCTTGTTAGCTTGAGCTCTTTTAGTGCAGCCCATGTGAGAGCAAAAGGCAACGCGAACAAACACGCACACAACCAAGCCTCCATCCACACCCATTCCTGATCAGGAACCATCGAAAATTGCTTCCACGTGATTCACTTCAATATTGGACGCGAAGCAACCCTGACACTCCAATTCAATTTGATGAGGAAACTGTTGAGTCAACGCTTGCCTTTTTTTCATACAATCTTAGCCAAACTTTTCGATCATCGGCCTTCACAGACGCCATGAAATTCCTGGCGCCAGCATGGCTGGTGCTGGCGTTGGTGTTGCCCGGCCTGGCGGAGTGGCCATGTAGTGCAGAGAGCACCTTCGAAGCGGCAAACTACGTGGTGACTGAGGAAGAATTGGGAAAGACACTTGGATGAGTCACAGGGGCTGGTGGGCAGAAGAATTGGTTGCTGTAGCGGGTGGGGGCTGGTGGGGATGAAATATGATTGAGGAATGGGGTTTGGAACAGGTCATGGCAGCACACATTGGGCCCAGGCTTGTTTGGGCTAGACGGTTGGAATCGATCGGTTTGCAGACGCTTTGGTCGAACCCGCCGGCAATACACACAGTTCGGGCACCGTCCAGGAAGTGGCAGCTCTACCTTCCTTTTGTCAAAGACCTGCCAGCGCAGATCGATCCGGAAAATGGTCAACCGTTTGCGACCCTCGCTTATCACGAAGACCCCTCTGTGACGTTGGACGCGCAGGAACAAGAGATCAAACTCAAGATCCCTGTCGAAATTTCAGCGCAGCAAAACGGATGCACGTGGAAAGAGCCACATCGCGGCAGCAAAAGAATTTGTTCAACACACTATTCCGGCTTTTTCCACTGGCTTGTAGGTTCCTCATATGAGAAGTGCCACAACACGCACGGTGTTGCAAAACTTGTTGCTTCAACGGTGCTACAGTTTTCGGTGAACTTGCCCTCGCTGTCCTTCCGTTGGCAATCCACCAACAAGGTCCAGAGTTCCAGCAAATGGGGTTCATGTTTGCACCACTCGCCTCGCATAGAGAACTATGACACCGCCTCGGTCATCGGCAGGTTGAGAGATCGCATCATGAAGAGCTGGACGCATCATGAATGGAGGCCTGTGCAGGTGCTGGATCTGACGGACGGAGCTCGTTTGATTTTGCATTTTCACGCTCCAAGAGTGGAGTTCAGGGAGGGTGCCACGGCCATTCTTGGCTCTGCGGTGGCGTGTATTCAAGACAGGCAGAGCAAGACATATGTATCGATAAGGCCAGAGAATGGTGCCACGCAAACACGCTCTCGTACCAAACCACCCTTTGTCAAATACCACTCCAATGTGCAGCAAGTCCTCACGCCTGACTTTCAACTTGAAGGGTCGCTCATTTTCAGATGGGAGGGGAGTTCCAATGTATCAGTCCGTGTGAGCAATGACGCGATGCAGGTCACAGCACACATCATTCAGGAGAAAGGAATTGGACACATGAATCGGACTACTCGAGTCTCCTTACAAGCAAGCCAGGAAAAAGGAGTTCAAACCCCGTCGTCAAGCTACCATCACTGGTGGCGGCGGTTTGTGCCTTCCGTAGTGTCCGCCCCAAGGCAACAGAGCTCGGCTCCCAAGTGGCAAACAACAGTCGTGAGCCAAGTGCAGAATAAGTTCTTCTGGTTGTCGGTTGAGAAGGTTGATGATGATTGGCAAATGATTTCGCTGGGGCAAGGGAGGATCCCAGGCCAAGACCCACTTCTTCAGAAGAAGATCCCGAGAGGCAAGGCTCCACTTAAGGCAATCTCACTCTCCAGCTTCGACCAGGGTGCTGAGTGGTACTTGGACACCGGCAACGTTGATCAGGTTTGTGGCCTTCCCACAACTCTGACAGGAAAGGGCCGGTTGGTGCGAATCTCCACTCAATTGTTTCAGGCCATGCTCACTGTGCAGTCAGGGCGCGTCGTGAAGCGTTATGTTTCGACAAATTCCACAACCTTCCGTAATGCAACACTCAACTACAGCTTGGAAGTAGGAGAGATTGAAGTGAAAATGGAACGTCCCAAAATCGTTAAGCATGCTCCTTCCAATTTCCTACATGTGGCCGTGGTGAATTCCAGCACAGTTGCGCAATGTAGCGGCCGTTCGCTTCCTATTCTTGCAGCTTCCTTGGATCACTTTCAAGGCTCCGCCACATGCCAGGGCAGATGGGAGAACGGGAACTTGGCTTTGTCCATGAAGTTTCTCGAAGGGGATTTGGGCTCACACAATCTGAAAGGTTTACATGTAAAATATCCAAGTGTCCCAGTGGCACCCGGTGCCGCGACCGCGGGTGCCGGGTCTATGTTTGCTCGTCTTCTTCCTGACGTGAACCACCAGCTTCGGAAACTAGCTTTGGTGATTCCGCCGGACTTGGCACAGTACATCCCATGCCAAGGTCACGAGAGTTCCAGTGTTTGCGGGAATCTGAAGGTAAAGCAGCTGCCGCAGTGTGAGACAGGCTTTCTTGAATTTGCGCAGGAGAATGCACCAACTGCAGGAGGTAGGGTTCCGGAGACTTTGCTGGCTGCCAGCCCTCCAAATTCAGTTTGGACATGGGCACTTTACACATTTTCCTTGCTCAAGAAGCACGTTTTTCCGTTCAACTTTGACCAGCAGTATCCTGTCACATCCTTTTCGTCATTAGCAGTGTGGCTTGCTTTAACTGCTTGTTTGATGTGGAGGTCACGTTTGTATGGCGTTTCCTGGCTCATGCTCTCGATTCTTTTGTGGAGCTGGAATTGCCACGGGCCATTTGCAGCTTTCACCGTTGAAGCCTTCCAAGACCTCTCAGGATTGCAGCAGAACCAAGGGGGTGTTGAATCAGTAGTTCACCAGTTGCAGTACAGGACAGATGTGGCTGTTTTCTTCACACTTCTCGAGATGATTCTGGTCGTTTTTTGGGCAGAACTCCCGGGCTTGCTGTCAGTGTTTCGATCGAGAATGAGCCCAACTGAGAAGGACAGCAAGCAAGTGATAGCCTACTGGGGTCTCAGTGCATTTGTCATCGTCTCCCAGTTCTGGTTGCTGGTCGGTGTGCCAATGACGCTGTTCTTGGGCCGCGATTTGGGAACAGAAGTTGATGACAATCAACCCATTCCGAGCTCACCCATGCATGTAATTGAGGTCCTGCTAAACCTCAACAAGAAGGCTCAGATCCACCATATCACCAGAACCGTAGTAAGTTGTAGTTTCACTGCCGTCTTTGTGTCGTTCATTGGGCTTTATTTTATCTTCTTCATGCTAGCTCTGCCCCCTGGTGCGTTCATGGCGATCCTAACATTTGTTGCCGGACGTGAGGCTCGTGATCCAGATCGCACCCTCACAAACACGGCAACGTTGTGTGTCCTCATCACAGAGCTCCTTTCCTTTGCCACAATCCTAGGGCCCTTCATCATTGCTTACCAGATTCTGGGGGGAACTGGCCAGTGGTGGCTGGCATGTGCTTTGGTGGGGATTTGTGGGCCACTCTTTGCTGTACCCTATTGCATGGCTGTGCCATCCATCAGCAACCGCAAGATCTTGAACATCACCAGTCTATGTTTCGGGCTGGGGTATCTTGGCGTATCACTTGTGGGTGCCATCCTGCTGTGGAAATCAGCCAATGATGAACTTACAGCCTTTAGCTTCAATACTTCTGGCGAGGCGGCAGATTTGCTTTGTTTGAGCAATTTTACCTTTGCCATCTATGGGGCCAATGCTTGGTTCGTTGGCAGTAGCGCTTACATGCTTTTGCAGGATACTGCTGATGCCGCCAAGCTGGCGGATGAAATACAGAAGCAGGTATCTCACTTAACTTGGAGTCAAGTTGTTGCGACGATTGAGGACACTTGCCAAATTCCATGTGCTGGGAAGCTGATTGGTTGCTTGTCACACAAGAGCGGGCAGACCTTGAAGAGTTGGTGGGATGCCTTCTTCCCTTGGCTGGTTTGGCTACTCGAGATGGACGCGGTGGTGTCATTCCTCTACCATGGCGTCAAAGTGATTTGGCTAGGCCTGGTGCTGAAGTCTTGAAACTTATTGGACGTTCCTCAACTTGTGAGATAAGCTCAAGTTGTAGTTGTAGTATTCATTTCACTTGCCGGTGAACAAACTTGGCTGAGGGTTCTTGCAGAGAGGGCTTCATTTTTAGGGTTTACCTGCGGTAGCTATGATCCTTGGCCATATGTAACATATGTACTGGATCCGGCATGCTTATTTCTATGGAAGCCTCCGCAGCACGGCGGGGGTGGTCGTACTGTCGGACCGTAAGTAAGACTTTTTTTAAAACATAATAACTTCCCACCTATCAAGGTAACCGGCACAGTCACTGTCCCCACCATTGACTGCGATCAAATAAGCAAATGCATGAAGTGTGAAGGTGAGGTGATTTCACACTGAGATGCACATTGTATTCACACTGAGAGGCGATTCTTGCGACTGCTTTCTGGATAGAAATTATTGAAAGGGTGGTTGATATTGCTTTGCTTGTGCAATTTTTTGTTCTCTCATAATACGATTATACTTGTTGAAATGTTGTCTTGGCTGAGCTTGGTTATTGATACACATAATATCCCAGGCCTTTTTCATGTTGTTTGTGGTCCAGCAGGGTCTTGGTCTACCCACCCTGCGGTTTGTCGTTTCTCTTGGCATTGCAGATGTTGTGGAGAAAGTAACTTGGTGTTGAGGGTGTTGTCTTTCTCTTCTGAGCACGTGTCCGAGTAATTTGAGTTTCCTTTCTTCAAGTTTCTTTGTCATGAGTTTTACTTTCCTGAATGGCCCTGCAGTTGGCGCATTGAGCGCTTCATTGGCTGTGCTGTAAACCAATTCGTTGGTATTTTCACGTTGGACGTAGGTAGTTTGCAAATTGAGGATTTTTCTAAGTCCTTTGAGTTGGAATTTGTTGAGAAGCTGCGCCGCCCCCTGCGTGAGTTCTAAAGTTTCCAAACCATATAAAAGCTTGCTGGTAATATATACATGCATCGTATACTATCAGCTTCCATTTTGTGCTGCCGCGAGTGTTGAGCCAAAAATGTCCAATTTTTTGAGGACTGCCATAGTTGGCGAGATGCGCTTCCTAATCGCATGTTTTGGATCGATTTTCTTGGTCACATGTATGCCGAGGTAAGAGATATCTTCGGACGTCTGCATTCGCTGTCCATTGGAGAAGAAGATACTACCATTTGAGTTGTATGAAATAAGAGCGCATTTGTCTTGATTAAGCTTCAAATGAAGATACTTAGATTCTGCTTCCACTAAATGTAAGTACTTGGTTGCAAGCCTGGCACTTTTGCTATCATTAATGTATCATTTGCATAGAGCAGTTCATTGAAATTGATACCTTGGAAGGTCTTCTGATGTCTTGGATCATTGAAACCACTTTTTACATCTTGAAACATGCAGTGCATTGTAAGGATGAACAGATATGGGCTCAAAGGACATCCTTGCCGTATTCCCGTTCTTTGTTTTAGCCATGGACTGAAGTGGGTTTTGACAGCAACTCTGAACTCAGGGTTTCTGTAGAGTGATTTAATCGCAGATATGATACTATCTGGTACAATCAATCTAGATCATGGTCAAGTTTATCAAACGCCTTCTCCCAATCTAACAAGATGAGCCACAGGGGGTCGTTACCCTGCTCAGTGAAATCAGCGAGCCTTCTGACACAGAATATTGGTTCTACTGTGCGCCTGCTTTTTCTGAAATCGAACTGTGTGTTGCCCAAGTGTCCGTCAATAATGTCAAAACGCAGTTTCTCCTTTCTTTTTAAATAATGTAATGTAGGCAACAATTTTGTAACTTGTGTTCAGTAATGAGATAGGACGATAGTTTTCGGGATTATCTGGATCTCCCTTTTTGTAGATGCTTTCTATCTGTGCTCGGGTAAAATCATCCGGAACATATTTGTGTCGCCAAAAACCGTTGAAACATGCGGTCAGGATTTGAATATTGCCGTGGTCTAGAAATTTGAACAGTTTTGTGATACACCCGTCTGGTCCTGGCGCCTTATTTGTTTTTAATTTGTCGATTGCACTTTCTACTTCTTCAGTAGTGAAATCAAGAGCATCATACGGTAAATCATTATGACTGAGTTTAGGTCGGTTTTCCAGTGCTGGTGGATGTGCAATTGGACTCCAATGTTTGCTATACAGGTAATCTGCCAAGGCGCTAGCTTTATTTTCAATGGGAGTACGATTGCCATGCATGTCCTTCATGCTGTAGAATTAGGGGTGAACGTTTTCCTTTCCAGCCTTAAATGCTGCCAACATTTTTCCGATAAATCTTCAAGGCATTGAATTCGAAATTGGCGTTTGTCTTTGCGTGCTTGTCTTGCAATGTCTCTGTTGAGTCTGTTTTCATCCACCACGTTGCCATGATTTCTCGCGTTCTGGCGTTCTTCGATTAAGTTCCACGTAGAGGCTGTTAGCTTATTCTTCTTGCTGAATGTTGTCCGCGCTGCCGCCTTCATAGTTTCGATGACAATGGAACAGTTAATTGTTCAGCGGAGGGCTTGTGGTACTTTTCAACCGTGAGTGTACGTTGGGACTTTAATTTGACACGAATAGTGGCAGTAACTATTGCATGATCGCTATTAAACGCAATGCTTGGTCCTGACTCTACATCTACAACTGCATTTTTATACTCAAACGGGGCCAGGATAAAGTCAAGTTGGGCAAACCTGTCTGTCGTCCACGGCGCTTGGAATCCTTCAGTCCGTGTTTCTTTGTTTGTGCAAGTTCGATCAGGAGATTTGTTGAATCGAGTGTTGGCAATAAAATAGTCATTGGCGAGGCAAAAATCTACGAGGTTTTGTCGATTTTTCTCTTTGGTCTTACGAGGTTTGAACTTCATCAGTGCTACCCCATCACACACATTACTCATGTTGTATTGTAGTCATGTCTAGCTTTGATCCTGTCAGGCTACACAGCTTCCTTCTTTCAGGCGGAGTTCTGCAACACCCTCTTGCTGTTCACATGGCTGCAGGGGTCAGATGATTTTGAGAAGAAGCTTAAGCATTGTCATCAAGTGGTCTCAAGTGAGGTGAGCTTTGACGGGTTCCAAAGCATTTTCGTCACCTGCTGCTTCATCAGTTGGACAATCCTGGCTTACGCACATGCGGGCAGTGAATGCCGAAGGATTCGCAGAACTGCGGACATCATGTGCAGCAGTGTGAAGAGGATTTGTTTGTGGAGATGGTTCTCACCTCGGATGCTGAAATCAGCACCGGGAAGATTAAATGAGCCACTCATGCCGCACAGCGACCAGTCTCAGCGCGCAATCGCCAACTATTCCCGTGTATGTTGCGTGAGCACGGAATCGGCTGAGAAAGAAGTCAGATGTTCCTGGGGTGGCATTGATGGATGGGAGCATGTGAAGCCAGAGACGTGGGGAGAATACCGCAAGGAATTCTTGCTCTTCGGCCTTTTGCACGGGTTGCTCGGATTTGCGCGAGAACTCATGTCGAGGGATAGCCATCCACACACTTGGGGCATTTTGTCAAGCCGTGTGGCTACCGAAGTGGGACTTCAACGTTTTCATGATCACCTTCGCAAGATGGGCTTCACAGTGGAAGGTAACCACACTGTCCTTGATGAGCCTTTCTTGGCATATGATTGGTTCACGTCCTTTTCTATCACTTGCCAGTCAGTACTTTGGATTCTGGTGCTCGTTTCCTTATGTTGCGAATGCCAGGGGTGGAGGAGCAGCAGCCAAGTGTACAGCTTTGCGGGCGGTGCCATTGCTGTCGTTTCGGGTTTGAGCGTCCTGTGCCCAAACTATGCCAGAATGACCAATTTTGCTCAATATTTTATAGGGTGTGGGCAGGAGTTTGATAAGTTCATGGAGTTTTCCATCAGCGGCATGCTTGGCATGACTTTTGCTGTCCCGCTGGGTTGTCAAGTGATTGCCATTCTCCTGACGATTCCAATCACTGCAGTGCGAGGCGTTTGGTTCGTGATGCTGCAGCACAAGAAAAAAAGTTCACTCGACAGTTCACTGCGATGCGCACTGCACGTGGGCATGTGGCTACTTGCGGCTCTCATACCCTTCGTCACCATATTCCCTTTGCTATTCTTCAACCAACTTACCGAAGATCCGGACACCCAACATATTGTGAAGGCGTTTTGGTTGTTACCGTCAATGATGATTATCAGTGCTGGGAAACATATTGGCGAAACATGGTTCTACTTTGCATGGCTCACAGTGTACATCGGCCTGGTGAGCTGGTACATGTACCACCAGTCCCAAGTCTGGAATATCCATCTTCAGAATTTGTTGGATAGGTTTGACCTTCCGTGGCTTTGGTCCCTGATGCACTCAGATTTCTGCCTCACAAACGTGATCGTCACGGATCTACTTACCATGGTGTTTCTACTTACCGCGTCTGGATCCGAGGAATCCGAGGAAGAGAGCTCCACCGAGGCAGAAGACTCCCTGGAAGCCATAGCAGGGCTGGAATTCTCCAAGGCATGTGTTGGAGTTGGGGTGCCCTTTGATTCCAATCCGGTGATGGATGAGATCCAAAAGCTTGAGGGCTACCAGACTCACTGCAGTGTTGAACGGATTTTCCTCATCAACTTTGATTCCGAGGACTCGGCGAGGGAAGCTGCAAATCAAACTCTTCCACATTGGAGACTTGTGGCTTTCGCGAACTTCAAGGCAGACATGCCTTGATGTGCTCAAATCTGGCCCGTCATTCTGCCGACAGCGCCGCAGGGCAGGTGACACACCAACTCCGCATAATTCACAATCACAGACCATGCATGGTGTACAGACCAACATTCTGGCAAGTCTCGTTCCGTTTCTGAAGTTTGTGCGGCATGTTTCCATCAACGGCCGGCATGATGGGTTAGAAAGTGTTGTCCTGGCTCTTGCCAAGATTTGCGCAGGTTATAGACCTTGTCTTGCCGTGTTCCCTGATTCAGTTCCAAATCTCAAGGTTTGAATCCAGCCGCAGCCTTCTTGTTGTGCTCTGTCCTGCACCCGCCGGTCTTCTTCTTCTCAATGCCTACTGTCATGCGTTTGGTCATCACCGATCATCTTGCTTTGTGCAGCTTGGTGATTGGGCATGCTTCGGCCGTCTTCCTTAGCAATTTGTGTTGCTTGGCCCGT